TCACGGTTGTCTAAAGTGTTTTATGATCACGGTGTATTCTAAAACAAGCAGTTAGGTCAATAAACTAATTAATCTACAGGTCCTCCCTGTTAACGACACGTGTGTGTGTCTGATAGTGATGAGCGGTTGGGAGGGCGTACTAGCAACAAATCAGAATGGGTGGGAGGTCTGTTACACCGTCCTATCAGAAGTTTTTCAATGGTTCAAACGCTTTACGACTGTCTAAGAGTGTTTTTCATTGCTGATGCAGGATGGGTTTGTTACACAGGTTTTTTTCCTCTCCAAAAAGCTCTAATTGAACAACTCCGCATAGATTCAGATTGTCATCGAAAAAGACGCTCCCTAACAAACGAAAGGCCTTACGGTAACCGTACACCGTTCACACGCCGAGGGAGAAGTGATAGTCATCTTGATACATACGTACGCCGTTGGGTATGTGATTTTTGGGGGAGGAAGCCATGTCGATAGCGAGGTTGGTTCATTTCAGACTCACTCCAACGCTATAAATACGGCTATGGTTAAAAATGTAGGAGTATACCCGACATTTTTGGAGGAGAGATAATAAGGGGTGATTACGAGCTATGTGGTTACTGAATGACCCTGCAGACGTAGAAACAAGGGTCTGGTGCAAAATTTAAATTAACATAATTACGCTGAACTGTGTTAATCGGGTGTCTTACCCAAAAAAAGGTGAATATTGTTTTCTGTACAGTACAAGGATTGGCCTGAAGTATCTAGAATATTTACCAAAAATTGATAAAAGCAATTCAGAAAGAATTACTTTTACATGGAGGTTGGAAAAGCTGTTAAAAAAAGTCTGCAATATCTGGAGCTGAGACTGAAACAGCTAATATGCGGTTCCCTCTGAATACAACAACAACAAGAGATTAAGGTAAGTATTCCTACCGTATTGTATTGTATTTTCTATACAACGTAATAATGTTTATATTCAATGAGGGCGACCAATGGATGCGGGCCCCAGAGGGTGATGAAAACACACAGTCACCAGGTTGTTATTTAAAGATATTCAGTATATTTTTAATTAATACCCCTCTTGTTTCTTTAAAGATGGAAGTGAAATCAGATGCGATGAGGATGAATTGGAAATCTCACTACCTACACAATCCACGGGTCTTAATGAGACAATGCTGTCGCTTATGGTGTGTATAAGTGATTATTATTTTAACACTATATTGTTACTAACAGAATGTTTTTTTAGTGACACCGAGAATGCAGAGAGGAACAGAACCCCCCGACGGAGGAAGGAGCCTGAATCCCCCACGGAGAAGGGAGCAGAGCCCCACAGAGGGTTTCACCAGATGATCAGAGCTATTTCATATTTGAATTTGCGGGAAGATCCTTTTATTCCCTAATTGATGCTCAAATGATAAAGTGGTTGGAAGGAGAGTGCTATGGGTGCGAGGTGACCACCCGAGTCAGATCCAAGCACAGCTGTTTGGAGAGTTATCCCGAATATTTCTACCATACTCTGGGTGAACTATTACAATTTCTTGAAACATAGTTGTGTCGACTTAAACCAGAGCTTGTGAAGGTGGTTCGTCATTTTGCGTATCCCTTTCTATAGTTTGACTATTTAATACTAACACAGTTGTTTGTAGGTTGTTGTATTGTGGGTTGTATAGTATCTTTATATTGACTGTTTATCATTATCCGCATTTGAGGTAAAGTCGCTAGCGAAGCTCCCTTTCAGCTATGGGTCGGTGCTATTAAACCGTCTCTGCAGAATGGGATGCACTTGATGATTTGTACGAATTAGTCGATACAATCACGGATACGTGTTACGGCGTTGTTTGATAATTAGTACGAATTAAACGTTCCACTGATGCATAAGTGTGTAGAGCGCTGACCATAATTAATTCTTATTTTTTTAGGGAAGTGAGAGGGTGATGTAGGTTAGGTATTTAGTGTGCTTCACAATCGTAAGCATTTTCGATGGACTTTCAAATGAGAAGTGTTTTCAATGATTTTGATTATAACAGCCGCTACTAGACGTGCTCGCTTGGTTATCCACTTGTGCCAATTCTACTCAGCTATACGTTTCCACGTGTTTTTAAGGTGGTTGATTTCAGGAGTCAAATGTTGAATTTGTATTTCCCCGCGTAAGGTTCTTGGTCTTCTAATCCCTGTTGTGTATAGAGGCTTTCGTGTATTGAGTTTGCAATTCGTAGGACCTCTCGTTGAAGCGCGCGTGTCTGTAGTTGGGCTCGTTGGCCTCTTAGCGCGTAGTTTAGCTCTGTGTATGGTAGCGTTTGTACGCTGATTTGCAACAACCAACACTTGTTTAGTAACTTTTTCGTGCTCAGTTTGAAGATTGGGAAACTTGTCTCTTTAATTGATGTATTTCGTTAAGTTTACGGCCTCTGTGTATTTACTTGTGGCTCACAGTTGCAGAACCTCTCTGAGTGTAGCTCTGCACTAATACAAGGTGGCCTTGGTTGACTTCAATTCCTCACGTATGTTGGAGAGCTCTGTTTTCACAAGTTTTTTCACTACAATTGGTATTTATACTAGATGTGTGTTTTCTTGTAGAGTATTCACCTTTGGTGGTAAAGCATTCTTATTTACAGGCCCTTTTGCGCGATCAGGAGCTGCTGCGTGTCCAGGTTCAAAGTATTCCTCACGGTCCGGGAATGGTGTTCCTGCGTTTATACATCTTGATCGTTGTTTGGTTATACCTTCATCGCGTATAATGCTCAATGTCGAGGGTCGCTATAAAATTCGTCTTTATCCTTGATTATGTTGAAATCCTGGTTTACTGAGGGCTGATTCTCGGTTTCTTCGTCACCCTTGATGAGCTAAAATTAGTGAGAAAGAAAATTATAACCCACTACATTATAAAAATTATCTATGTAATCACCTTTTATCATCATCCCCTGTGATTAGTTATTTTGTGTCCGTTTGCGGCGTGATATAATTGCTCTAGAAAAAATAAATATATACCTCTCATAAAAACTTGTTCTATACAGTTCGTATATGTACCGACTCTTAGACAGTCGTAAAGCGTTTGAACCATTGAAAAAAAACTTCTGATAGACGGTGTAAACAGACCTCCCACCCATTCTGATTTGTTGCTAGTACGCCTTGTGTACTCCAAACCGCTCATCACTATCAGACACACACACGTGTCGTTAACAGGGAGGACCTGTAGATTAATTAGTTTATTGACCTAACTGCTTGTTTTAGAATACACCGTGATCATAAAACACTTTAGACAACCGTGAAAGCATTATCACACACACACAGGCCAACAGAAGCTAACTCTTTGAAACTCTTTGAAAAACAAAGTGCAGTAACACCTTTCACCACTTGCTCAAGAGCGCCGTCCCCTTTCTGGGGATTTTAGGGTGCAGTACCACCTTTTCACCACTTGCTCTCTACCGCCGTCATATATATCTACTGACTGATATTAATGAATACATTCAATCAGACATCCTTCTGAACTTTGTAGCAACAGTCGCAGCTCAAAACATTCAAGAGTTGATCTGAAAATCTAAATGTGCGTATTTTAAGAAACAGAAGCAACAAGAATGACGACTTTCTGTCCAAGTCTCACATATTTTCTTATTGTCCATTTCTCTACATGAATCTAAAGCTGCACAAAGCCAACGCAGCGACAGGAAGATGGAAACATAAGAAGAGCAGCGTGATGCTTTTCTCAGGGATCGCTCTCACTGACAGGAAGTTGTTTGTGATTATGGAGCCGACCCTAAAACCTTCTGCGAATCACAAACTCAAAGCTGTACGTACAACAACAAACACAAAACTCACAATAGATGTTCAGATCAGACATTGTTCCCAAATGAACAGTACTCTCCAAAGTGAACGTGTGCCTCCAACTCCAACTAGAAAACATGAAATAAATGAATATTTTTGGCTTTCATTCAGGAGAACCTTTTCTTGTGTTTTACACACATTAAGTGGATCATTACGTCATCGAGGATCAGAACCAATAACCCTAACCCATTTTTATTCACCATTTGGGCTTCATGGTTGAAATGGTGGATTATTATGACCAATTTATTTAGCTTTTCTGTTTGAGGAGTAGCTTGTTTGGGTTGTAACTTGTTTACCGGAAATATTTGAGATCAACTTTAAATGATCTGACAAATGTAGGGTTTAACAGACATATATAACATCTTCTCTGTGGTCCATGACCTGCTTGTTGCCATGGAGATAGAATGTCTTTGCTGGACGACCGGACGTTCAGATTTAAACTTACAGCACATGAGCAGCTCTGATTGCAGACAGTAGATATTTGGGTTTAAAAGTATGTAGATAAGTCATGTAAAGTAATACAGTAACTCACAACATATTCAGACTTGTAAGAAAGCCCTGGGAGTCACTTTTTGACCCTTTGGGCCGAGAGCAGAGTGAGGGGGATTCTGTTTTGAAAAATATTAGGGCTGTTTCACTTATAATCAAACACCACTCTGGCCATTTACAGTTTGTTAATTACTGCTGGTGAAAGCCAGGTCCCTCAGACCTCTGAGGCTAAGCAGGGCAGGGCCTGGTCAGTCCTGTGATGGGAGACCTGTGAACAGCAGCTGCCACAGTGGGGCGGCTGTGGCTGTAAAGTGCCAAACTGTGGTTGTGTCCTTAGGCAAGACACTTCCCCCACATTAGACTGAGTCTGGTGTGTGTGTGAATGGTTGGTGGTGGTGGGAGGGGCCGATGGCACAGACTGGTTGCCTCGCTTCTGTCAGTGTGCCCCAGGGCAGCTTTGGCTACAGTAGTAGTTTATCACCACCGTGTATGGAGTGAAACAATGTGAAGCGTCTTTGAGTGTCCGAAAAAGCACTATATAAAACCGGTGCATTGTTATTATTATTAATATCATTATCATTATTATTATTATTATGTTTTAATTATTATAACATTATTATTATTATTATTATTATTATTATTATTATTAAGTTAAGTGCCCCAGCTTTAAGGCACGTTCGTAAACTGTCCCACTCATTATTAAAGACAGCAAATACACCACTCTGGCCCACTCTGGCCCACTCTGGCCCGTTACGGAACGGTAAAGGGCAGTACTGGACTGCAGTGGAAATAGCGAGGCAGCTGTTGATCAGTTTGACACGAGAGAAAACTGTGGAGGATCTGATGAGGATAGACACAAGAGAGGAAGAGGAGAGAGGAAGAGGAGAGAGAGGAGCGAGGGAGAGGAAGAGGAGAGAGAAAGAGAGAGGAAGAGAGAGAGAGAGAGAGGAAGAGGAGAGAGAGGAAGAGGAGGGAGGAGAGAGGAGAGAGGAAGAGGAGAGAGGAGAGAGAGAGAGGAGAGAGAGAGGAGAGAGAGAGAGGAGAGAGAGAGGAGAGAGAGAGAGGAGAGAGAGAGAGGAGAGAGAGAGGAGAGAGAGAGAGGAGAGAGAGAGGGGAGAGAGAGGAAGAGGAGAGAGAGAGAGAGAGGAAGAGAGAGAGAGAGGAAGAGAGAGAGAGAGAGAGGAAGAGGAGAGAGAGGAAGAGGAGAGAGGAGAGAGGAAGAGGAGAGAGAGGAGAGAGAGAGAGGAGAGAGAGAGGAGAGAGAGAGAGGAGAGAGAGAGGAGAGAGAGAGAGGAGAGAGAGAGAGGAGAGAGAGAGGAGAGAGAGAGAGGAGAGAGAGAGGGGAGAGAGAGAGGAAGAGGAGAGAGAGAGAGGAGAGAGAGAGAGGAAGAGGAGAGAGAGAGAGAGAGGAGAGAGGAAGACAGGAGCTGAGGGAGACGAAGAGAAAACCTTAATTAATTCAGCCGTGATGGGAGGGCCGTCCCCGTGAGCCGTGCGTCGCGAAGTCTGCGGTGTTGTCAGCTCCCGGTCCTGCTCCCGGTCCTGCTCCCGGTCCTGGCCCCAGTCCTGGCCCCGGTCAGTCTCTCCGACACGGTCTTTTGGGGTCCTTTTGCGAAGACGAGTAAAAAAACTGGGTAAGAAAACACGACCAGATAACCCCACGACGCTGGATGTCCTCTGCGCCGGGCAGACGCACCGGGCAGACGCACCGGGCAGACGGAGATGTCGTTTGGACCGGAGCAGCTTCCATACCCGCCCGGAGGTGAGTGCCAGTCCGTGTGGTGATAAGAAGGAGATGAGACGTGTTTTCGCTCCGTGTTGAGCCCCATGGCATCGCCTCCATTCAGGGTCCTCTCTGCTCTGGACCGGTCTCTCTCTCCGTTCCATTATTTTGTTTTTTGCGTGTGATTTGTGGCTGTTACATGACGCCGCGGGGGGTGTTGCTTTGGCAGGGTTCATAGTTTGCTCTGAGTGTCAAGCAGGACAAAAGGGTGGATGCTACAATGTCTTGGTTACACACAGGATATAGAGAGAACCACAACACAAACACAAGTTTGATCTGTGCTGCGTATACTACACAACACACTGTTTTGAGACACACACACACACACACACACACACACACAAACGTGCCATTAGACCTGATTGTGGTTAAAGACCTTTGAATATAGTGTGTTATTACGACACTGGTCATAATGCTTCCTCTGAGGAGCCAATGCGACCGACTTTCTTGTCATTAATCTAATGTCTTCACGTCTAATTACATCCCATCAAGAAACCACTAAATGTGATGCTAATTCATCCCTTGACAGCTTCTACTTGTGGTGATAAACGGGTAAATCAGTGCTGGGCTGTGCTGGGCTGTGCTGGGTGAGAGTGTGAATGATGGGAGCAGGACTGTCTTATGTTCTAAAGGTCTTCCAGAAGCTCCTCCTTTGGGATGTGTTGAACAGAAGGTACTGGTACTGTTCATACACAGGTCGTGTTGGGTCAGTGCAGTGAGATGGTTCACTGCGGATCAGACACTTTTCATCAGAAGGATTTAGGAGTGAACAATCGTCTGAGATTAGGACAACACTCAAATGGATCCTTTTCAGTAGTGACCTGGATCTAGGTCGGGCACCGCTGAAGCCTTTGAGTGATCAGAGGTGCTTTGTTTTGTCTGAACCGTGAACTTGGGGCTGAACTGGAGTCTGTGGCAGAAATATAAATATCACAATCTTAAGTTAGTTTCTCTCAGCAGCTCAGCATTTATCTCACTCTCTCGTGTGCCTGACTTTATGTGATAGTATGAGTTAAAAAGTAACATGCAGGAAATATACTGATGCTTTTTTTACCAAGTCTGAAAGGTCTGATCTTACACTAACGTCCTCAACTATAAATATCAAATATAATGTTTGTGGTTGATAAAGTTGTAGAAATGTTTCTGTGAAAACAAAAATACATTTGTGGATATTTTGACTGTTGCGATGACAAACTGCTAAAGTGTCAAACAGCTGTTTCTTAAAAGTTTTCCAAAGATAGAATGTAAATAAGACAAATGCAACATGTCACAAAAATATACATTTTAATGTATTATTTCTTCAAATCAAAACACTTGGACTTGTGCAAATCCATCTGAACTACATCATGTTTGTAAATGTGTGAAAATAAAATATTGTAATGAACGATTTCTTGTTAATTATGAACAATATGTTTTTGACTTAGACGTGTTTGAACCAGGACCAAAATCCTCCAAAATGCACTTTATTCTAATTGAATAAAGAAACTAAATCAGACGCATTCATCTGTCCATGTTTTATCTTTATATATTATTTATTATTCTTTTGTCACATTATCATGGATTGTATTTGGGCCAAAAAGGAGCAAAGTGATTTATCACGTTTTATTTTACACAGTTAGTGCCTTTTATCTTTTCCACAAAACAGATTTAGTGTTTTTCTAGATATATAAAATAAGGTCAGACTGTTTGGTCTCAGATGTTGATGCTCGACTCGGTCAGTTTTTATAAAAGAACAATGAAAAAAGAGTTTTGCCATAAGTACTTTATACTTCATTCACACATTTATTAATCCTATATTTCACTTAGTGAGACTAATGTTTTCACATGAATAAAGTATTTCACACTTTCATCACTTAAATACTTTAGTAACTTAATACTTTGTACCTTTATACTTTAGTAACTTCTTTCCTGAATGAGAGAGGTTGATGGTGGACTCCTTGTTTACATCTGCACATGTAAAAATGTAAAAGGCATTCTGTTTAAATACCGTGTTCTGTGTAGCTCGGCTCTTTCCGTTGTGATTGGCCGACAATCTCACTGTTGCCATGACACCAGGGCTTCCATAAATACTGTGGTATTTGTACCGTCTGTCCCAGGAGTTGGGCTCATGTGGCTCATGCACACGGCCATTCATGTGTTCAGTCAGGCCGTACTCCAGCAGAGAAACTCTTTGGAAAGTGCTGTTGACGTGAGGGTCCTGTTATTGCTGTTATCATTATTTTTGTTGCTCACATGAACGTTTTTTTCTGGTGATGTCAAACTCTGAGATTTCTTTGTGGAAGAGCTGTGGCAATGATCGTGAGATTGTTGTGTGTAGTTTGGTAGACCAGCATTTCACTCAAAGTTAATATATGGGTTTGGTTATAGAAATATAGTTTTCTTATAGTTTATAATTTAAGTATTACACATTAATGCAAAATCCAGGTATGGCCCTTTTTAGTGGCCATATACATTCTCATTTTCTTTAGCAAACATTGAACGGTTTGGTATAGGGCTGGGAGTTTACAGCAGTTCATCGATCTTAACGTTTTAATTCTCAGTTTAGCTGTAAGTATTTGAGGCAGATAAATCAGAATGTGTTTTTTAACAGTTGGCTCATTATGGTTTTGAAAACTTTTCTATCGCATTTGACTCAAACAAGAAAACAACCTCATCATTTAAGTCCAGGAAAGAGGTTCCAGTCCAGCCCTGAGTAGACCTGACCCTTAGAAATACTTTTAGACTGTAATATAGAGCAGTAACTTTAATCACAAAGGCAGAGTTAGTTATTAGAGAGAACATTGAAATGGTTTGAGGCCAGAGTGGAAATGCACCAGAGAGACTCTCAGACCTTTTAAGGACAAAGACAGTGCTGCTCCTCAGGTCACACCATATGATCCTCTAAATCTGTCTGTAATGGCCTTTGTGACATGTTTCTGTTTGACCCTGGTCCTTGTTGTCACTCTGAAGAGGGAACGATATCTCTGCCTAAACACTGGTATGTCAGACTCACATAGAAGAACTTTGAATATAGTACTTTACCAAAATGTCGCACAGTAATATAATATATGTTAAATAGTATTTTATACATTTTTTTACATTATATACATTTTTATACATGCTTGTCGGCTCAGCCTCTCTGGCTTGACTCGACAGTATTTCATTAGAAGCATGTTGCAAACCAAGTTGTTACAAAAACATTATGTATAAATCCATGATTAATTGAAAATATTAGTTTTGTGTCGATTATATTAATCTATAATACAACCTATGATATAATATAATCTGTAATATAATATACTAGGATCTGCCCGGTGTTGCTACAGAGGGAGATGGTTTTTGGGTCAATGGTTTTGTATAAAGTGTTGAAGAATACTGAGAGAGAGAATATACTTTAGATCAGAACTGGATGTGAGAAGTGGCCCATATTAGTCCTCTTCAGTCTCACATTAGTCCTCTTCAGTCCCATATTAGTCCTCTTCAGTCCCATATTAGTCATCTTCAGTCCCATATTAGTCCTCTTCAGTCTCACATTAGTCCTCTTCAGTCTCATATTAGTCCTCTTCAGTGCCATATTAGTCCTCTTCAGTCCCATATTAGTCCTCCTCAGTCTCACATTAGTCCTCTTCAGTCTCATATTAGTCCTCTTCAGTCCCATATTAGTCCTCTTCAGTCCCACATTAGTCCTCTTCGGTCCCACATTAGTCCTCTTCGGTCCCACATTAGTCCTCTTCAGTCTCACATTAGTCCTCTTCTGTCCCATATTAGTCCTCTTCAGTCTCACATTAGTCCTCTTCAGTCCCATATTAGTCCTCTTCAGTCCCGTATTAGTCCTCTTCATTCCCACATTAGTCCTCTTCAGTCTCATTAGTCCTCCTCAGTCCCATATTAGTCCTCTTCAGTCCCACATTAGTCCTCTTCAGTCTCACATTAGTCCTCTTCAGTCTCACATTAGTCCTCTTCAGTCTCACATTAGTCCTCTTCAGTCTCCATTAGTCCTCTTCTGTCTCACATTAGTCCTCTTCAGTCTCATATTAGTCCTCTTCTGTCTCATGTTAGTCCTCTTCAGTCCCATATTAGTCCTCTTCAGTCTCACATTAGTCCTCTTCAGTCTCATATTAGTCCTCTTCAGTCCCATATTAGTCCTCTTCAGTCTCACATTAGTCCTCTTCAGTCTCACATTAGTCCTCTTCAGTCCCATATTAGTCCTCTTCAGTCTCATTAGTCGTCTTCAGTCCCATATTAGTCCTCTTCAGTCTCATTAGTCCTCTTCAGTCCCACATTAGTCCTCTTCAGTCTCACATTAGTCCTCTTCAGTCTCATATTAGTCCTCTTCAGTCCCATATTAGTCCTCTTCAGTCTCACATTAGTCCTCTTCAGTCTCATATTAGTCCTCTTCAGTCCCATATTAGTCCTCTTCAGTCTCACATTAGTCCTCTTCAGTCTCACATTAGTCCTCTTCAGTCCCATATTAGTCCTCTTCAGTCTCATATTAGTCCTCTTCAGTCTTATTAGTCCTCTTCAGTCCCGTATTAGTCCTCTTCAGTCCCATATTAGTCCTCTTCAGTCTTATTAGTCCTCTTCTGTCTCATATTAGTCCTCTTCATTCCCACATTAGTCCTCTTCAGTCTCACATTAGTCCTCTTCAGTCCCATATTAGTTGTCTTCAGTCTCACATTAGTCCTCTTCAGTCTCATTAGTCCTCCTCAGTCCCATATTAGTCCTCTTCAGTCCCACATTAGTCCTCTTCAGTCTCACATTAGTCCTCTTCAGTCCCATATTAGTCCTCTTCAGTCTCACATTAGTCCTCTTCAGTCTCACATTAGTCCTCTTCAGTCTCACATTAGTCCTCTTCAGTCTCCATTAGTCCTCTTCTGTCTCACATTAGTCCTCTTCAGTCTCCATTAGTCCTCTTCTGTCTCACATTAGTCCTCTTCAGTCTCATATTAGTCCTCTTCTGTCTCATGTTAGTCCTCTTCAGTCCCATATTAGTCCTCTTCAGTCTCACATTAGTCCTCTTCAGTCTCATATTAGTCCTCTTCAGTCCCATATTAGTCCTCTTCAGTC